ATGTGTATGTAGATGAACAGAACATCTCCTCAGCCCCCATCATTGCCTGGGATCTAGTTTTTACCCAGCAAAGAACTGTAATTCCCTTTGGAGTATTTCAGTGGTCTTGACCTCCCAAGCATGATTCTCTAATATGCATCATACCCTCTGGACAAGCAGTTGAGAGATAAAGATCTCAGGGCTCTGGTCTGTAGGGTGGTTTCAATAACCAAGTAAGTAATCACTCTTGGGGAAATGCTGGAAAAAATGCTAACATGTTCACTTAAGTGAGTAATGGATAGATAGGAACTGATGGTCAAGTTTGAGGCACCAAGATGTTGAAATGTTGTAAACAGACAAAGCCTAATGTAATTTCTGAAACCAGTGAAAGGCTACTTCTGTGACATATTTAAGCCAATGAGGTCTGAGTAACGTTGAAATAAGGAGCATCCCACACCTATATTTATTCTACACTCTTACTTATCATGGATTTACATCAGATGTTGCCATGAAGCATTTCTGAACATTGTTTGAACATGAGAATCACTTTGGTAGCTCCTCAAAGCATGGTTATCTAGAACTAAGGCCTGGAGAAATGGATTTTATCAATCATATAATAGAAGGATATAAATCTTATTATTTATTACTTGTGAACTTTATTTATTGTGTGAGTTCAGGAAACTGAATTCAGAAGCTTGCCCTTGCTGGTAAAGCACTCTACTATTTATTTAGATCTCCACCACAAGTTTCTGGTTCTTTTTATTTATTTATTTTTTTGTTATTTTATGTCTGTATTTCTGTGTACTACCTGCATGCCTGGTGACCTCCAAGACCAGAAGAGGGCATCTGATCTCTTGGAACTGGAATTACAGATGGTTGAAAGCCAGAATATGGGTGCTGGGAATTGAACCAGGATCATCTGGAAAGGCTATGGCTTCTCATAACCACAAAACAATAGATCCACACCCCAAATTACTACTTTTAATATCTCAAGATTATGAAGTATAACCAGTATACAACACAGAGTATCTCTGCCACTGCTTGTAGAAAACTGTCAGTTCCAAAAAGACTTCAGAAAAAAAAAAAAAAAACAACTTCTAGAACAGAATTCCTCAGCTAGGAAACTTCAAATATGCACAAAAGCCTCAGCATATAGGAAAATTCTCCTAGGAGTTTTGACATCTGTGTTGAAAAATTTTAATCTGTATTTTCAGAAAATGAGGGCTAATCCTGGAGAGTGTGGATTGGCCTTAAATCCAATTTTAAAAGATGGTTGATTACTCCTATAACATCTGTGCCACTATTGCACCAGTGGGTATATCTGACTATGCATGTCATTTTTGTAGCTCAAAATGACTGGGTAAAAGTGGTGATTTTTTTTCCCTCCAGTTTTGTGCAAAACAGTTTCCAGGGCTATGGATGCTAGCCACTAAAAATGAAACTTCCAGTTGGGTATCAGCTAGACTTTTTTTCTCCGTGTTGTATGACACATGTTTGCAGTATTTTCAGCAATAGGGTCTTACTGTCAAGTTGTGAAGAATAACCAAGAGCATTGGCCATGGTCTATAATGTTTTATGGGGTCTATGAGACTCCATCGGCGAACAACTCAAAATATATAGCCCATTTCTAGTACTGACTACATTATTTGGAAGTATATGATATCTAGCTAAGGTATTATTTCCCTATTATAGGGTAACTCCATTTACATTTCTTTGATACATGTACATATTTTAGGAAGCTTCTGCAGTATAGGTTCCCACATGATGTTTTTCAAAAGGGCTTTTTATTGTCCCACTCTCTCAATTTTAGAGCTGGCAGTATGGATGAAATCTCCTTCCATGTCTTGGGTTTCTCTTGTCTCTTTTCTTTATTCTTCAATGAAAGATTCTCCTTGTAAGATCTCACATGATTAGAATGAATCCACTAAAAAGCACAGGGTAACCTCCTATGCATCATATCTGCAAAGTCTCTCTTGCTGTGTAAATAACACACATAGAGGCCAAGGATTTTAAACATCTCTAGGAGTCATTCCCCACACTTTATTGAAAGACTTGAGCCTTGTCACACATGTAGTCTTTCTAATTATTAGAGAGTTTTCAGTAATGGTATGGTAACATTAACTTTGCTTTTCTAAAAGATCCCTCTGGATGCCATATGTAAACTAAGTGAGGAAGAAATTGCCAGAGTCATCTAGAAGAGATGTTATATTAGTGTAAACCAGAAGAACATCTGGAAGATATTAGGAAGTAAGGATGGATTGGAAAATCATTTACAAGACTGCCAACAACAGGTTTCAGTGCTCCATTAGATGTCAGAAATGAGGAGGGGGAATAGAGAATTAGACAAGTAACACCAAGTCTCTGGCTAGGATAATTCATAAATGAAAGAGCAGCCCTGGAAGAAAGGGAAAATAATGAATTCATTTGGGAAAACATTGAGGTCAATGGGCCATGAAGATGTCCAAGTACAGATGCAGAGTTGAGAATTGGATGTGGAAGCTTAAATTTCAGGAGAGATGTCTGGACAGCACGTTTATCTCTGTCTGGGTATCATTAGCACACATGTGGAAACCATGGATCTGGGAAAAGTACAGAAGAGAGAAAGTAGGAGAGGAGGTAAGGGGAGAGGAGGGGAGGGGAGACGAAAGGAGGGGAGAGGAGGGAAGGAGAAGGAGGGAAGGAGAGTCTAACGATAGCACCCCAATGAATAACTTGCACTTGAAGGACTACAGAGGAGGAGGAGCCTACCAAGGAGAGTCGAGAAGTTAAAAATAGCAGAGTAAAGATATGAGAAAAAGGAGTCTAGGGTTGCTCAGCCTAAGAAAGAGATGGTGGAACAGTTGGTCATAAAAGGGACATTTATATCATCTCCTTCATGGATTGTGAAAAATTACAGAAAAAGAAGGAAAGAATGTAAGGATCAGAGGGTGGGTAGACACAGCAAAGAATGTCTTTTAGACATGAGGAGAACACCCTGCAGCTGTGGTTATCTGCACAAACCCCAAACAAGACTGGGTACATTGTTATGGTTGTACAATATCCACAACCAGTAGCTAAGTGCTATGTTGTCAGTGTTCCAGAAAATAACCTCCCACCACACTCATGAAAGCAACTATAATTAAACTGAGCAGGTCATACACAAGAGAAGACATGAGAGCATAGGAAAAAGTTCAGCAGGAGAGAATGGGATGGGAAAGGAGAGCGGAGCCGAGATGACTACAAATTATCATACACAGCTATGAAACTGTCAAGGAATTAAAAACAGAAGAAAAGAAAATACTGAATAGAGTGGTCGATTGTAGTCGACGGTGGTGAGAGGAAACCAGGAAGAAAATGGCAGAGAGGAAGTGAGTGAGTCACATGGCAGCCATCACTGCTGAGCAAGGACAGTGTGCATGGGGCAAGAGAGTCAGAAAACAGTTGGGAGATAAGGAGATAGATCAGAGAGCAGAGTACTTTTTTCAAGAAATTTACAGGAAAAATAAAAGGCATGGAGGATTTTGAAATGGCTCAAGGAACATGGATGATTGAAGAAGATGAGGCTTACTGGGAGAAGAGCAAGACTTAAAGGTACTTGTTGCAATGTTTTTAAGAGTGTGTTGGCGTGAAGACAAGAGAGAGACGAGATAGCTGACAAAAACTGAAGAGTGTGGAGAGGGTGGCTTACCTATTCATTTATTGGCTTATTTAATATAATACACTATATTACAATTGGAGGGAGATAATTATGGAGAAGAGTTTAAAATGGAAGAGACACTCGGCTAATCAGCTTCAAATTGGAGCTGACTTCTAGAACATTTTTGAGGAGGGACTGACTCTAACTGGACCTCTTCCTGGTGTAAGAATATTGATAGAAGGACAGATGCCAAACTAGGAAGGCAGAGGGAAAATATCTGTAGGATTTTTGTTGAGTAGCTTCTGTTTTGTTTTTCTTTGTTGCTTTCTTGTCATTTAATGGGTTAAGTACCCAAGGCAGGGCTGTGATGAGGAGAGACCCAATGGTAAACCAAATGGCAAAACAGTTCAAAACTAGAATGGCTGAGAACTAAGGTTGACCGAGGTGCCTAGGAATGGAAGGGGAAACTGTAAGTGCTAAAACACATGATGCTAAAACTCAAAAAGATCGTGAATAGGTCTTGAAATGGACTGTAAAGCAGGAAAGCATCTATTTTAGAATATAAGCATGGAATTCTGGGGGCGGGAGGTGATTTATGAGGTGTTTGGTACAGGAATGGCTGGACTGGCTGGCTTAATTTTGCAAGAGAGCCAAGCAACTCCAGGCTTTGCCAGCCTCTCGGGGGATGAGTGAGATGCACAAAGAAAGTGAAACAAGATTTCCAGCTCCGAAGAGTCCATCACATACTCGTAAAAAGATGAGTCGGTGTTAAACATCTGTTAGGACATCTTGACGGTTGTCCTTGTTACCATCATTACTGCTGTTGTTGATAAGTTAGAATTAAGCAAAACAATGCATTGAAAATATAGAATACATGTGGTCAAGTGTCATGGGAGACAGAGGAATGAATATAGAGTGTGTTGATAAAGTAAACATGAGCAAGAAGACCTGAGTTCAGATCCACAGGCCACTACTTATAGCCAGTTAAAGAAGAGTGTGTCTGTAAGTAAACTGGAGTGGAGGAGGGGATAGAAACAAATAGATCCCTAGAGTTGGTGGGCTACCCAGTCCAACTAAATCTATGAACTACAGATCCAGTGAGAGACCCTGTCTCAAAAACTAAAGGAGGATGGCTGAAGAAGACATCTGAAGGGCTCGTGTCTCAACTGCATGCACACACATGTGCATATGCACTTACACACAGAGACATGCACAAACATGCATACACACATATGCATACACTGTGTGTGTGTGTGTGTGTGTGTATGTGTGTATGTGTGTGTTGAATAAACACTGATTTAAGGAGTGAAAAGTAGTAAATACATAAACTGGTTTTGGAAGACTTCTTGGAAAGAGGTGTACATAATGGTCATTTCAAGTTGATATATTTTAATCTTCATTACAGTGATGAGCTGACACAATCAGAAGACTCTGTGTTGCCCATAGACTGCAGAATGAGTCCCTGGAGTGAATGGTCACAGTGTGACCCTTGCCTCAAACAAAGGGTAAGTGTTTGAATCCATCCACCCAAGCTCCTCAAATGAACACTGGCATCTTCAGGGAAGTGACTACAAGGCAGGAACCCTAGAAACAAATTCCAACCCAGGAAGAGGTAGTCACTGAAATGAATGCAGCTGATTTGACCAGGAGACCTGCACATTGAATAGCAGACTGGGTAAGTGTTTATGGTATTTCGCATGTGTAATAGACTCCACAACCCAGAAGGCAAAGATCTATTGTTAAGTGATGTCAATGGTGGTTTCTTCCATCTCTCTTTTAAAATCATGAGTGTGGAGACTGGGTAAGTGTTTGTGGTATTCCATGTGTGTAATAGACTCCACAACCTGTGAGTCTCAACCCCTTTTGGGGGTCGAATGACCCTTTCACAGGGATCACCTAAGACTATTGGAAAACACTGATATTTACATTATGACTCATAGCAGTAGCAACATTACAGTTATGAAGTAGCAATGAAAAAAATTTTAGGGTTAGGGACCACCACAAGAGGATGAACTGCATTGGGAAGGTTGAGAACCACTACTTTAGACCACAATCCACTTTTGCATTAGGAAATACAATATTTTCAGCTGTTCTTTTGTTTGGTTATTTGTTTGCAGTTTCGTTCAAGAAGCATTGAAGCCTTCGGACAATTTCATGGGAAAAGTTGTGTTGATGCTTTGGGTGACAGACAACAGTGTGAACCCACTGAGGAGTGTCAGGAGGAACAGGACAACTGTGGCAGTGACTTCCAGTGTGGAACAGGTGACCTGAGAGTCCAGTTGTTCTCCATGGGCTTTTGTGTGCACTAATGAGTAAAAATAAATAAACACTTTTTCATAGATGGACATACTTTCAAGTGCAATGACTCCACAATCAGGGCTAGCTATGTAGTCTATAGCAAGAACTCAAGTGTCTCTAGCACTCACTTCCAATGCTAACGTGCCCACAGTGACTTCAGCAAATGAGAAAATTTAGCACTACACCCAATGTGTTTCCTTATTTTGACTGCAGGCAGGTGCATAAAGAGGCGACTTCTGTGTAATGGTGACAACGACTGTGGAGATTATTCAGATGAGGATGACTGTGACAGAGATCCACGCCCCCCCTGCCGTGACCGAGTGGTAGAAGAATCTGAGCTGGGTCGAACAGCAGGCTATGGGTTTGTATTTCACTTGAATCTGTCCAGGTGAAAATGAACGGAAATGGCCTCTAACTTTCATCATGGCAAAGAATACATAGAAGGGCTTATACAAAGGGCATGGTTGATGTAGACTTTGATCTGCATTCATTTGAGTCTGCCAGAATATTTAGTTAGTATGCAGGGATACCATCTGGCCTCAGTAGGAGTCTGCTGAATAACTTTCACTCTGAATCAGTAGGAGACAGAGCATTTCATGTACAAATGTCAGGAAGACCACAGAAACACTGAAACAACATGTCAACATTTAGAATTAAATGCCCCATAGCATGTGTGCCAAGTCCATTAAAACATCTGAATTCCCAGCATGGCTACCCTCCCACTGTAATGTTTCTTGAACTGATAACTGATTATAAATTCTGAGGAGTTCCAAGCATTCTGCAGTTGGGCTAGAAGAAATGGTACCAAAAAAGACTAGGTCATGATGTCAGAGGGTCTTCTGTAGAGAGTTGACAGGCAACTCATTCTCTACACAAAATGAAGGGGCTCTGGGCTGTGAGCTCTAAAGGAAGTCTAGGGGGTTTGAACTTGGAACTATATAGAGCAGAGAGGATTCTGCAGACATCTATGCTCCAGCAGTCTGGAGGAGGACAGATCTGGGGTCCTGATCTATTCCATTCCAGTTGCAAGTCATTCCAGGTACATTCACGGCTTAGTTTGCATAACTATCTTGAGCTGGATAATTTCATCCCTGACACAGATGCAGTTATCCCCATATCTTGTTGTGTGCAGAACTCCATGGTTCTGTTTCAGCATCTTCATGTAATGGGTTTCTTTATCCTCACAGTTTCATTCTTGACCCAAAATAGATGCTCAATAAATATTTGGTGGGTAGATAAACAGGTGAATTGTTTAATGAGTGAAAACCCTATTCATAGGTACCTTCTGAAACACTGGTAATATCTGGTAAGATATAAACTAGGTCCCTAGGATGAAACTCAGGGACAGAAATCCAGAATTGGAATGAAGATGGGGAAAAGAAAAAAGGTGGCAGAGATGGTAAGAACAAAGCTGACAGAGGAACTAGAGTGACAAAAATTCTTGGGTATGGTGATTCCTCCGCAGGAAACATTTAGGAATGTCTAAGGAGCATTTGAATTGTCACTGGAGGGTGCTACTGACATCAGCTGTTAGAGGCTAGCAATGTTGATGTTGAGCATCCTACTGCCCACAGCCCCACATTGTCAGTGGTACTGAGGTCAAAAAGTCCTATACTGAGGACTAATTCCTTCACATTGGATTTGGCTGAAAGTAAAGATGTCTTTTCTCTGAGGTCAGAGGAAACATCCATTTAATGAACATAAGAACAAAATTCTAGGGTACCAAGAGTCAGGCACAAGATAAATGTTTCACACACCATTTATTCACTTCATAAAATCTTGCTCAAATGGCTTTCAAATATTACCCACAGTGCCTTTGGCCCTTAGCTTAAAAGCTGTGTTTGTGATTCAAATGGACGGTCTTAGGCCAGGAATCTTACTAAATGGCAGTTAACAGTATAGAGTTGTCCAAAACCTTTCTAACCAGATCACTATGGACTCAAATTATCCTAAGCCCTGTCTGTATCTTTCCTCAGGGAAAAAAGTTTTATCTCTAATCTCAGTGAAAGAACTTGAAACAGGGAATCCCATATGTTATTTATTCTCACTCAATGCAGATTTATAGTTTGTCTTATGGGAAAAGAATACAGAAATGTTGGCCTACTTAACTGAAGAAACAGTCATTCATAATCTATTGGTTTCCTTTGTTCAGGAAAAAGAAAAAAATTTAACATAGCGTTTGCCGGCAAGTTTCCTAAGGGGGCATCCTAGAGAACTGGCAAAGAACCCGTATAACCTCATGCTTTATTACAGTCAGGGCTGGTACTGGGGAACAGCTGGGTGATCAAGGCTGAGGAGGGGGCCTAGCTACAGGAAAGATTAGCTGCAGACATGCAAAATGAGGTAGGTCCTGATAGAACCAGTCCATCAACAGGTTTTATTGAATTCCCTACTATTATGAGCAGAAACCCTCAACAAATTTAGTCTTTATAAAAGCTACTACTGTCATTTGCATTATACCTTGGATTTTTCAGGATCTCTTTGTATACTCTATCTCTACAGATTGTCATAATGTCCCTGTGACTTTGTTAGTGATGCTTTCATATTCATTTTGTAAATAGGAACTAAATGAAATAATTTAAGCCCTTTGGTGAGTGTTTTAGGGAACTAAAACCAAGTTTCTCTGTATCACATGAGACCATATTGTCTCCACTACACCACTTTACCCTTCTCCTTCTCACCACACCCACCCATACACTTCTCCATACCACTTCAAAGACCTAAAGCCAATGCCTTGTCTGCAAAGCAAAACTAAGTTTGCAAAATGATAGTCTATGGGCCAGTGAGATGACTCGGCGGGGAAAGGTACTTGCAACTGAGTCTGACATTCTAAGTTAGATCCCTGGGACTTCACTTCTGTAGGTTGCCCCCTGACTTCCACACTTGCTCTATCACTTACATTCCACATACACATACACACATACACACACATACTAAACATATAAATGTAATAAAAAATGAAGTGGCTTAAGCAGCTATTTGTAATCATACCTATATTTCTAACACTTGGGAGGCTGAGGCAGGAGGACCATTCATTCAAGCAGCTTATTCTGTGAAGTTTGGATATTTATAATTAACCCCCATTATTCTCACATAGCTTTGAACCACGTGTGAAACAAGGCAACAGGGTTTATATTAGTTACTTTTCTATTGCTATGATAAAATACTAAGACCAAGGTAACTGACAGAAAGAAGAGTTTATTTAGACTTATAATACAGTTCCAGACACCCAGACACGTAAGAGTCTGTCATGGCAGAAAGACATGGCATCAGATGGGTGTGGTAGAGGAGCAGGAAGCTGAGTGATCACAACTTCTACCTCTAGAAACAAAGGGAGAGAGAAGTGGAAATAGGGTGAAGCTATATTATGTCAAAGCCCGACCCCAGTGGCATACTTCCTGCAGCAAGGCCACACCTCCTAACCCTTCCCAAATAGCACCACCAACTGGAGATCAAATGTTCAAATACTGGAGCCTATGGGGTGCACACACACACACACACACACACACACACACACACACACACATATGTATTTATATATTTATTACACATATTATATGAGACCACCACAGTGACAAAGAAGCCAATCAGAACAACTTGCTTAGGAATTGCTTCTCTGCAGTTCAGTCTGGGAAACTACATAGGTCCAATCTCCTGTTTCATACACCCAGACTCTATGCATGGGCAAGTCACAGGAACTTGATATAATGAGTTAATCTTTACCCATTTGAAGGACTCTCTCGTATAAATTGCTACTCTGTCAGAATTCCATTGTATTACAAATGTTTCAGACTTCTGTCTTGTAGGCATCTGAGATCCTCCACAAATGTTCAGGGAAGTTCTCCAACCCATCTTGCACTCATTGAAAAAGCACAAATCAAAACCAGCTGTACATGATGTACAATATGTAAGGAATGACTTTTTTGTGATCTAAGCATAACTCTACTTCTGTGAAGGGAGCTTCCTTGTCAGTTCACCTGGTGAATTGGAGCTGCCTGTGGTTCTGGGGCAGCTGTGGAAGCAGCCATCTCTAAACACTGCCAAAGAACACGTTTTTCTTAAAATTTCCCAGGTGATGACTTTTCTATTCATGAGCACTTTTCATATTTCTTGGCAGAAAAATATTGGCTCATTTTAGACCAGACTGGCTGTCTCTGTAGGAGTGGAATCAAGTCAAAGGTTTTTGAAACATTTCTCCCTTAGTGGTGCTTTAGACTTTATTGGCTTCTGTAACTTTCCAGATGGACCCAGCCAACTGGTCAATGTGCTACTCTGTGAAACAATATCCTTCAAAGCAGGCTACACATAGCAAAGGGCATGCAAGAACCTTCCAGGAGAGTGGCAAGGAAGCTGTAAGGTATTAGTTTCCTCAACTATTAATTATGTAACTGATCTAACAATAAGACAGCCTCTGTATGCACTTGTTTTTCATAAAATTAGTACGTGTGACAACACAGCTACTTCCTCCTTTCTTGAATCTTTTTTTTTTGTTTTTCTCACAATGTTTCTTTTAAGACAGGAACTTGCTATGTAGTTGAGGGTCGCAGGTTTCTGCCACCGTACCAGGTCTGAACCTAGGGCTTCATGCTTGTGAGGCAGACACTCTACCTATTGTGATACATGGCTCCAGGTCTCTAGAAGCTTTTTCAACCTGTCATCTGCCTTCCCAAACCCAAATAATCTCTCATCCACCTCATTAATACTACATAGTGGAGAGCCCAAGCACCCATTCCAGATCTTAGGGTGCGCTTAGGCTCTAATGCCTTAGGAATAAAAGGTCTCCACTTCTTAAAAATTCTAACCAATATTCAGTAAATGGACTGTACAATAATTTATAGAAGGCTATTATGTGTCCAATCTTTTTGATATCAAATAACTGAATGGCATTACTATAATAAAATACCTTCTAGTCTTATCTACTTATCCATGTGAGTAAATTGATCATCATTTACATCTATATAGTGGGAAGTAAAAGTAATATTGGTGCTGATCCAGTGTTAGGAGAACGCATGACATTTATCCACAGACACAAAAATTTACCTATTAATTTGAAAAGAAGCCCAATTCATTTCACTGGGATAGCTTTCCAATACAATTTTACTTGGTTTGGTAATGACTTAAAAAAATTAGCGTATAACCTCTGAACTGTGGTGGATAGAGGATGCTGGGGCTTGCTGGTCACCAGCCTAGCTCTAGGTTCAATGCAAGACCCTGTCAAGAGGATAAGGCAGGGTGTGATAGAGTGGGACAGTCATTGTTCTCCTCTGGCCTTCTCTAGTCTCTGAATGGTCACACATATATTCCACACACAAAAATAAATAAATAAATAATAAAGATGGTTAAAAAAAATTTAGCGTACTTATATATACCTCTTACAATGAGTTTTAATACTTAAACTCTATGGTCAAGGAACATTTAATACTTAAAATATTCAATATATTTTCATACACCAAAGCATGAAAATATGACCCACAGGATTATTCAATATAAATTATGTTGCATTTTATATTAAGTTAAAATTCTGTGGGAAAACCATATGTACCTTCACTATGCCATTGATATATATTAGATTTACTTTTTCCATATAGAACAGTAATTATATTTTTAACAAGTATCCATAGCCTGATGGCCAAATTATATCATTTGCAACTGCTTAGGCTTATGGTGAAAACTGTTAGGTGCCTCACTAAAATGTTTATGAAGGCACAGCTAACTAAATTCCTCTACAAGGCACACAAGTAACAACATTACCCCCAAAATGCAACACATGTGGGATCTTGCCCACACCATTCCTCCTGTGCTTTCAGCACCATCCCAGATTGCACACCCATCAAAGCCCAAACCAAACTTTCCATTCTTAAACTCTTTTTATGATCTCCCCCATGGTGATCCCTTCTTTGTATGACACGGGCCTTATACAGCATTTATTTATGCTACTTATTTGACACAGTATATTCTTCCCAAACTATTTTTAAATAGATAATTATATTCTGGACTCCCCCTCGTAACTCCCAAGGAATTTTCATGGGAGCCAATTGTGTATTAGCTGTATTCCTATTACCCCCTGTTTATTAAATTCACATAGATGTAGTAATTAGTCACCTAAAGGTTACTCATTAGAAAGGAAGGCGAGGTTCCTTGTTCGATGAAGGAGTCTCTTTAATGAAGGTGCTTAGCAAGACCAGGTTCACTGTCCCATTACATGTATTCAAGAAATAAAGACATTACCTGTTCTTTCCACCACTGCATGACTTCAAGGTGGATGAATTGCCTCCAACCCACAGTGAAATGAAGACAAGAAGCATTACTCACAAGACTGGGCTTGACAGGCATCTCTGTTTTTGAGCTGCAATGGCTAGGTTGGCTTTGCTTCCCACTGTGTTTTGGTGAAACACTGGGGCTGCAGGAGCAGCAGAGCTAAAGAGGAGCAGCAGCTACTATTACAAGCCCTTCTCAAGGTGATAGCACAAATAACGGAAAGCAAGGAGAAACACAGGAGGCCTCTGCATGCCATTGGCCAAGGCAACTGACATGGCTGAGCATAAAGGCTACAGATGCAGGGTGGGTGAAACCACAGAATACAAACCAGTGATAAAATGTTAAAGCAAATAAAGCAGCTACAATGTCTGGGGATTTATTCCTGTGACTTATTTGAGCTCATCTCTCTAATTTTCAGCTCTGTGTCGGAACTCCAGAGCCTTGGCATTTGCTGGGAGAGGTCTTTTGGGCAGGATAGGCAGTGAGATAATTTTATCTGTAACTTAACCTTTGCAAATAATTTCCTCAACTATCCTTCCGTTACAGAGCTACAATGTTGCTCTTCTGGTAGTTTCATATAGAGGTAAAATATGCCATAATTTTGAAGTTGTTTTAACCCACCCATTGGTAATATCCTTGGTGTTGTTGTTGTTGTTGTTGTTGTTGTTGTTGTGTATCAGCAGTGGGCTCATGGTGAGTCACCCATACTCTGACAAATTAGTCTTGAAAGCAATATACAGATTTATAATCCTTTTAATTGGAAGTAGGTATGTGATCTAGAACAATGGATAAAGTTTGTGTTGGGGGAGTTGTAGGTGTGTGGAACAAATTTCCATTTTGGCATTCCGGGCTCAGAGCCATCTATTGTACCTACTGCCTCCATAGCAATGACTGTGCTCCTCAAACTGGCAAATGTGAACTTGACAAAGAGCTAAGAGTTTCTTGTGCCAATACTGTCTTTAGAAATCAAACTTCACTTTTGTTAAAACTTTTGTTTAAAGTTAAAAACAGCTAATGGATATTTGTGTTGGTGAATTAAAGCTTGCCAAATAAAAATATTTTAGCTGAGGAGGTAGTGCATAGAACTTTTGAGAATACCTTGCTCGGATGCTGATTTTTTTTTTAATGTTCATCTTGGAAAGCCTAACAGGAAAAATATAATCCTGGGGGAGGGGTGAGACTCTTGACAGGCAGAAAGACAGCTGGAGGAAGGTTTACGTTTAAAGAGAATTGGGAGAAAGAGAAAGAGGCCCGATAATGATTCATAGATGAAAGATTATATGCATATATTATACTGCCCCCCTGGGGTGTTCTGTTCTCAAATAATTTGAATAGTTGGTGTTACAGCATTTGGTATTTGGTTCACTCAGGGCCGTGAGGTAAGAAGTACAGCCTTAGAGCTAAGACTCCAGGAGCCAGAGGTTCCCATGTGTCCTACATACTGCCTTTCTTTTCTGTGCTCTAACCGTGCCAGAGGTGCCAGAGAGTTTACAAGACCCTCCTAAGGCACGCTTTCTGCCAAGGCACTGCACCAAAGTGAAGGGGCCCTGGCTTCTGTTCCTGATTAAACCCCACACGTGCTGTACGGCAGTGACATGAACCGAAGCTGTCTCACTCTCCCTGCTACAGAAAGCTGCCTTGCATTAGCGATGGTATTTACCCATATGATCCATTCTGTTTCTTCACAGGGTCAACATCTTAGGGATGGATCCCCTGAACACACCTTTTGACAACGAGTTCTACAACGGACTCTGTGACCGGGTACGGGATGGAAGCACTTTGACATACTATCGCAAACCATGGAACCTAGCTTTTCTGGCCTATGAAGTAAGTCACCATAAAAGATAACATATTCTTTTGTTTTGGTTGGGAACAGGTGCCTTGATACATTTAATAGTATATTCAGCAAAAACTTCAATACAGTAAGGATTTAAAGTGAGCATGTGACTCTCTTAAAAGAGAGATGTATCTTAGGCCTCTCCAGAAACACAGTAGTCTGTCATGCATCCTGACTACACACATTTATATTCTATAAGAATCACCCAGGATTCTGAAATGACTGAAAACAAGATTAGAGCAGATTTTGTGTGTGATCAAAATGATCAAACTACTTCCACATCAGCTGTTCCTTGAACTAGTCCTTTTGGTGAAGAAGTCCCATTGTGTCTTCTTCATTCCATTTCTAGAAAGTTCTTTTTGTTGATGTCACTCCCACCAGACTAAAAAACATTCAGACTTTTTAAAAGGTGTAACTGGTATTTCTTGAAAAACAACATCATCATAAATAAATCCCTACACATTTCATCATGAAAATATCCTGTTTGCCTGTAGATGTTAAGGATTCATATCTGGACCAGGTTGGCACTTTGTTCACAAATAATCACATTGTCATATTTCTTGCACCTGTAGATCTAGAATAAAGTCACCAATTTCTCACAAATCTGAGGTAAATTTGGAGGTTATAGTCTTTCTCCATAGTATCATCTTTTCCTCATTTAAGGACAAAATTTTGTGAGTGAAAGTCAACAGTCTATCCAGAAAGCACTTTTCTGAGCTGGTGACATGGTTCTGCTGATAAAAACACTTTGCCATCATGCCTGGATATGTGAGTTTGATCCTTGAGGCCCACATTGTGGGAGAAGAGAAAGATTCCCATAAGTTGCTATCTGACTTCCACATATGCACCATGGCACACATTGCCTACATACATGCACACTCAATATAAATGATTTTTTTAAGTCAGGGTCTTACTATATAGACTTATCTAGACTATGTAGACCAGGCTGGCCTTAAACTCACAGAAATCTATCTGCCTCTAAGGTACTATGATTAAAAGCATGAGTCACTATCCCTGACAGTAAAAATATTTAAGTCCTTTTCTAAGTAGAATATAGAAAACATGGTAACTTTAGGCATTACTGACAGGTGAAAGTTGATTGGCATGCTGTCTTATTTTGTTTTCAATCTTCATTTTGTGAAGTCTTTACTACTGCTAGGTTCTGGGTGTGAAATATGTGAGATGTCCTCCACACAGGCTTGTATGTTTGCATACTCAATGCCCAGATGATGCTCCTGTTTGAAGAAATTGTGTAGCCTTTGTAGCATGGAGCCTGGATGGAGGAAGTGGGTCACTAGGTGAGACCTTTGAAAATCAAGCCCCACCCTAGTTCCAGCCTAAATGTCTCTGCTTCTGCCTTCTCAACATGATCAGGCTTCCAGCTAATGCTTCCACTGTTGTAGTCAGAGCTGTCCCCATCACCATGCACTTTCCACCGTTATATACCCACTGTATCCATGATGTACAAATTGCAATATCAGACCTGAAGAGACAAAAAAAAAGCCTTTCCCTTCTTATGTTTGGGTCAGATATTTTCATCACAGTGATTAAGCAATAATTAATATAACCTCTGTGACCAGCTCTGTAACTTCTGTATAAAAGTGAAACTTATATGATATAGAAGGTAAGCCATGTGGTCACCCAGGATTAAACATCAACCTACATCAGGAGAGTGAACACACTGGTTCTGCTTGTTCCACCTCTAGAAAGACATAAGGCTCAACATTTCAGTATGTTTTATACTTTGGGAGAAAGACATAGTTTCTGCCCTGTACATTACTTACACCCCTGGGACATTTGGAACAGTATCCCATAATCAAACACATTAAGCTTTCTGTTGCAAAACTAATCTATGTTCACACAATGTGGAATAAATGAAATCTATAAATCACTTTTTATTAGTTTGGGTGGGATTAGAGCCTTCAAATGAGTTTTTCCACTGAGCTTATAAAAAAGTAGGCAGGAATGTAGACTTGAGCTCTTATTTGGTACCAATCAGTGAAGAGAGGTGTTTGAGTTGAGTTCTTGCTAAGTTCCTGTGTCTTCTTGGTGCTATGATTACTGGTGGTGACCTTGGACAAATCTATTATGGTCTTGGAAAATAAGTAGCCAAGCTTGTCATATCATACATGAATTCTTATGAGTGGAAATCCCTATTTTCAACTTACAAAGTTTTTCTTCAGTTTCAAATGCTCAGTAAAATAAATCATCTATCACATTTTGTGTATCAGTACAAAACCTGAGTTAAATATACTTTCTTATTGCCATTATCAACTGTATCTGTAGAGGGGGTACTCACATATTTGTGCCTGATGAATGAATTTTGATTACATTGTATTTATTTATTGTGAGTGGTTGGGTATGCACATATGAAATTCAGAGGTCAGTTGTCTGTTTCAATCATGTGGGTCCCAGGGATGGAACTCAAGTTGTTACCAGCCTTCACAGCAAGTACCATTACCTACCGATCCATTTTGCCAACCCATATGAATTAGTTCTTAAACTTTATTTGGCTTATTCATTGGCAATAAATTATTGTCTTTTGTTATTTGAAAAAGTTATGCTGGCCTCTTATGACATCTTATTCTTATTCATCTCCCCTCACCTGATGCTTCTTATCTCAAATGTTCTGTGATACAAAACCCATCCTTCATGAGTAGCAACCCTACCTCAGCCCTGAAGCTATGAGATCTTTTGTAAAGTACTTATCATGTGTCTCAATTTCCTCATGTAGAAAATGGAAATAACACTGCATATCCCATGAATATAAAGAGATATAAATTTGTAAATCTCTCCAAAGATTATTGGCACAGATAAGGCACTCAACAAACACTTGTTATTACTTATTTCTAGACCATAATTAGTGAGAAACTTAGGCAAAGCTAGGTACTTCATATGGGGTTACATAGTAGATTGATGATGTGATCACTTTTATAACTCAGAAGTAGTGCAAGAATATCTGAGGCCTGTGGAAATGAGGAAGGTGAAATAGGATGATATTTACAGCACAAATCCCTTTCAACCTTCTTTTCCTGGGCCCTCTCTTTGTTGTTGACATCAATGCTTTGTAAGCCCAAGTCAGGTTTTATGGTTGTGTTTAAACCTGGGTCTCTGTGAACATGTAAGACTTAGGAGATAAATAATGGAGACAAGCTGTGCTTAGGTTATCACCATCCCTTTCATCTCAGGACCACTGGATGAAGTTCTCTGCCATCTTGGTGCCAGTCATCTTCTAAGCCTCCCCAAATCCAGCTCGATTTTCTTTAGACCTGTCTTTGTTTAGGACACTCTTTACTTCTTGGTGTTGCCAGACTTCCAGCTTGCTTCAGGGAGCTCTTGTTTCACATTCTCTCTGGATTGTTGATGTATTTCCTTCCTGTAAATTCAGTTTTCACAAAGTTCTGAGGGCTACAAATGCTGTTTCTATATCAAATCTTTTTGTGAACTAGGTAACTGTGACTCTCATTATCTGAAGTTATTCCATAGTCGACATACATAACAGTGATATCCATTGAGAATCTTAATGTGTAAATGGAAGTATCTTCCATATCATCAAGCTCAAGTCCTGAGTACATTTCTGGAACTTCCTTTACAGACCCACTTCAAAGTGTACAAGAGCTGATCACTTGTAATATTGGAATATTATAATCCTAGTTTTGTAATGAGACTGAAAGCAATCTGATTGACTTATAGCTCAGTGCAGATCTATGGTAAACCTCATCATTTCATTCTTCTATTTACTTGGTGTCTCAGGACAACCATCAAAATTACAATTACCCTCCTTGACAGGAGTAAAAGACCATTCATTCCTTATCTGAATTTTGATTGCTGGTCTACTTATTTTATTGGAACCCTCTATTTTTGAAACTTCAATCAAATGAACATTGATTAAATGACAAATTGTCCTTATAGGTGACAGTGACATGCAATCAGAAGCTTGATGAACATCTCAACTAGTCTTTCTGCTAGAAGCATGAGTCCACTTAGAAAGTTTGACAACTTACAGATAAAGATGATTACATACATGTTTATTTATTTGTTTTACATTGATATTTCCCGAAGAATAAATATATAGACTTTCCCTATAAAGATTGTAATAAGAATTATGACCTACAAATTGACTCTTATGGATTCAAATTTGGAGTCAGAAACAGGATCAAATCATGAAATAATTCATGACATTTTGAGTGTGTTGGGCTTAATTAATTCTGAAGGTAGTGAGGAAGCCACAGATGATAACAAAATGGGCAGAGTGTCATTTTAGATGCTTATGTTTTATGAAGATGAGTTCAAAGGATGACCACAGGTGATGAGAATGGAAAGCTAGCATTCAAGAAGGAGAAAACAAAAGGCTGGGTCTACAATAGGGACTAACTATGGACAGATAAGATCAAATCCAGCACAAGTAAGCATTAAGACCATTGTAATGAACTGAAGAAAGAGTAGGGATAATTGCCTAGTTCTGAGTTAAGACTCCCTGGTTAGAATTTGATAAATCCCTTTGATTATTAGGAAATTCATCTTGAATCTCAGTGTTTTATGTGAAACAAGATTATCATAGACTTTTTGAGGGACTAAACATGCTAATAATTGTAAAATGCTGGAACAACACCTAATAAATGAAAGTCAGAGATCCTTCCTCAGTGAATAATGCAGCATCAGAAGAGATGTAGGGGTTAGATGTAGGAAAACTCTATTAAAGTAGGAATGTGTTCTAAGAGAAGGATAATTGACTTTTGATAATTATGAGTTTGGGGCCTTCTATGATACGTACATAACTATTATACAAGGAGTATATAAGATTAATCTGAAGGCAAAGAGAATGCCAGAAAATGGTCTTCACTTATATGATCACTGAATTCTCAAAAGGGCCTGAGACCACACAGAAAAATATATAACAATGGGAAAGGAAAGAGAAAAGGAGATTTTTAGAACATGCTAACATTTGCTTTCTGTTTTTTAGGTTCTCTGATTTGGGCCACATACACATGCAATTGGTGGGTCTTGTTGAAGAACTAATGATTTTATCATTGCACAATGACTTTATGTTTTTGTACAGTTCTTTACTTAAACTATTTTATCTGATACAAATTTGGATACCTCTGCTCTTTCATTTCCATCTGCATGAAGTACATTCTTTCAGCCAACTGGTAGTGAGGTTGGTTTAGGGATCTTTGGTGGTTGGAGGGAGTTCTTAGTTTTTTGTTCTTGTTATGTGTTTGTTTGGGTTGGTTTTTACATTTTTTTAACCAGGTCATGTTATATATCCCAGTGTTCTGTCAAGCTTTATGACAACTTAACACAAGTTAGAGCCATCTGAAAAAAAAAGGGGGGGATGTCAATTGAGAAAATGCCTCAATAAGACTGATAAGAGGGACCAACCCATTGTGGGTGGTGTTATCCCTGGGTTTGTAGTCATAGATTCCATAAGAAAGCAGGATTAGCAAGCCAGTAAGCAGCACTCCTCCATGGACTCTGCATCAGTGCCTGCCTCCAGGTTTCTTCCCTGTTTGAGTTTCTGTCCTGGTTTCTTTCAATGATGAACAGTAATTTGGAAGTATAATCCAAATAAACCCTTTCCCCCACAAGTTTCTTTTGTTACAGTGTTTCATTCACAGCAATAAAAGATCTAGCTAAGGCATAAATTGTTACTGTAACATAAATTTATATTGCTGTGAGAGACTTGACCGTGTTGTTTTTTGGGAGGAGCATGGAAGGACTTTGGAACTTTGGGCTAGAAACATCATTGAGTGCTGAGAGATAGTTCAGTAGGCTGTTCTGCAGAACTTAGAAGATACGAATGTTGAGAGCAGTGCAGATGATGGAAGTGTGCACTGCCATCTGGTCTTCATTAGGTTGTTTAGGTTAGGCTTGCCTTTATGAAAAAAATACATGTGGTTAAAAATTCAGAAAACCAAAACAGCAAAGCGTTGCAAAGCAAAGCAAACCTACTTTCCCTACAGATTCCCATTTCATCCTCCTCTTCAATATACATGCTTCTGGGTCAGCTAGAAATTTTTAAAGGAACATAAAATATGGCTTTTTCTGGTAAAGAGTAGGGTATAAAATTTTAAAGAATAATTTTGAAGCCAGTCAGCTAAAGTCTTTTTATTAAAATTTACTAATTCGTATTAAATGCCTTAAAAGATGACTGATAGGCCCACAAACCCTCAATCAATATTTTCTTTATTCTTTCGTTTTATGCAAATCACAGCATGTATGTCTACATAGATCTGTTCTGCAATGTCTTTAATAATTTATGTATTAATTATTGGAATACTGCTTTATCTTATTTGATGTGAAATACAGCATTGAATCCCATAACAATCTTCAGGCCAGCTTTAATTGTCTCTTTCTGTGCAGTTTGGAAATCAGACCATGCACAGTTTATTTAGTAATATCCTAAATATCACCAGATATGATGGCTAGTTTTAATTAACTTCACACAATTAGAATAATCAGTGAAAGAGTCTCAAAGAGGCATTGTCTAGATCAAGTCAGTTGATGGATCTGTCTGCAGGAGATTGTCATCATTATGTTAATTGATATAGGAAGCCCCACCCAAAAGTGAGTGGCACTACTTCCTGTGTTTGGATCTGATCCTATATAAGAGTATTGCAGATAAACTGAGCAGTAAGCATACATGCATTCATACTCATTCTCCCTCTGCTCTGAAGTGTGGATATGACTAGTTGCTTCAAATGACTGCCTTAGCCTCCTCACAATGATGGACTATAACCTTAAAGTTGCTTTTGCCTGGGTGTTGTATCACAACAATAGAAATAAAACTAGGTTTAGTCTATTTTAGTATTAGTAGTGATTAATGGACCACCCTAGTGGGAGTTTGGAAGACAGTAATGTTAAGAAGAATGTGGACAGTAGAGGCCTGATGTGATGTTTCAGGGAACAAAAGCTCTGCGGGGAACTGAGATAGAGGCCATTTGTTGGGTATTTTAACCAAAAATATGGCTTCATTCTACCTGTGACTTGAGACTTTGAGTGAAATGGAATATAAAAGAATGTATTGATTCGTTTGATCAAGGAACCATCAAGGTGCTATGGTATTCAGGTTGGTATTGCCTTTGTGGAGAAGCCCCTGTGCTGCACTGAGGCAACAGAAGTGCTTCCACAGGGTCAGCACTCAGCAGTGGACACAGCTATGGTCCAAGAGGAGCCAGGCTAGATCGTAAGAGGCTAGCCCCAAACTTGGCACTGTTGTAAACACCATTCATGGGGTGCTAGTTGTGAAGCATGAAACATACAGGATTGAGGGGGCACTGTGTGGTAATGTTGGAGTCCCTGCAGAGAGGCCCTCATAGGCTGGTGGGTAAAGCTATAAAGATGAAGCCTTGCTTGAATAGAAACCCCAGGATAAGTGTTGGTATGATAGGGTACCTGCTAGGAAATGGATATGGCCTAAGTCCAGGAGAGAAGCAGGACAAGCGACAGGTAGCAGGAGTGGAGGAGTAGGGTTACTAACATAGTTTCAATCCCAGATTATATTACAGGCCCAGGTGTTGGGTATGGAGGTATAGAAATTGCTCTTTTTCCTTGTTGGGGTTTCTAGAAGGTGTTCAGGGGAGAATTAAATGTGATTGTTTTATGTCCCAGTTAATTTATTCTATGCCATTATATGTTGGGAAAATATGGCTTGATTTTTTTTTAATTTCTCGGCATTTAGAGTTAGGAAATGTTGAACTGGACTTTTGAAGGCTGGGAATTTTTAAAGTTGACCTATATTTTACACTATGGTATAAACATGAATTTTGAAGACAAGTGATAGGAGATTCTAAATAAAGGTGATGCATTCCTGTGCTGAGTTAAAAGGGGAGGGCTTGTGAGGGTAAGTTGTAAGTGTTCATGTGAAATAATATAGGAAAATCACCTACAGACATGTCTGGGGGAGTTGTCTTAACTGTGGTAATTAATGTGGGAAGACACAGTCTAAAAGTGGGGAACAACATTCCCAGGGAAGGTCCTAAATTGCAGGACCTAAGTTACAGGAGAGAAAGAAAACAGCAGAAGTATACATCTCTCAGAAGTATTCATTCTCTCACTAGTCTTAACTATGGATGTAATGTGACCAGCTGCTTCCAATTCCTCCCTTGACTTTGCCCACAGTGATGGAATCCTGAGAAGAATAAATCTTTTCTCCCTTAAAGTTGCTTTTGTCAGGGTATTTTATCACAGCCACAGAAATGAGATTAAGGCACAGGCTCTGATTCAATCCACAGAAATCTGACTCAGTACCTTCACCTTAGAGAGCATGATCCCTCTAACTGCCTGATTTGCATTTGTTTTTAACAGCTCTTTATTATTATTATTATTATTATTATTATTATTATTATTATTATTATTATTTAGACCAAGGCTGATAAAACTTTCAGAGTTGAGAATTATGAAGCACATACTGAAATGTTCAAAAAGATCTTCCAAGACAGGACCTTGACTTTTGAGGCAAAATTGGCTCTAAAATTTTCAATCACTGAAGCAAAGAAGAAAGTTGAAGGAGTTGAAGCAGTTTTCCCAGAAAATAACTCTCCAAAATCTAAAGAATCTTCAGTTGGTCTTCGTTTTTCATATTTCAAGAATGATAGTTTTCAACAATTATCAACATATATTTCAAAGACGGTAAGAACTGGAATAATTCATATAAAGACTATGATAGGACTTATTTCACAGTGACTAAGCTCTTCTTAAGGTAAAAGGAAATGAAAGAAAAACAGAAAATCTTCACAGAGATTTCTAAAAGAGGCAGCAAACTACTGAGAGAGCAGGGAGGGGAGAGAGATTCATTCTATAAACACTAAAGGGAGGTCTCACCAAACAGTTGGATTAGGGATAGTGTATCTGGAAGAAGGACAAGTAAAGTTGGGGTTCAAAGGTAGGAAGAGTCTGATGGCACGGTTCTGTCATATCAGACCAGAAAGAGAACGGATTTGAGAAGGCACTTTAATTGGCTCCTACAGAGCCTCAAAACTCCCTGCAAGGGGTGAATTTTTCTCCCTTTACCAAGCATTTGGGTTCAATTCTTAACGTTCATTGTTAAATTGAAAGTGGCCCCACTGTTACATAGCATCCCCAGCCCTGGTGATTACCAGTTTTTCCATCTGTAATGTGTGACTATGATGCTATTATCTTTATATTAAATATTAGATGCAAACTGTTTGGAACAATTCTGTCAGAGTAGATGATGAAAAAAACCTAATTGTCATTATAACCAAAAACAAAATACCCCCTTTGTTGTGAAAAGATTGGATGTGTAAGAACAAGCATAAGGATGATGTTTAAAGCCAATGCAGGAATCCTGGAGGGACAAAGATTGTTCCCATCAAATATGATCCCAATGTTTGGAGCATAAACCATTCGAAGGGTGGAGTTGCTGATGGACATCCTTTCGAGCAAAGTAGGCTGAAAGGAAAACCATGGTTAAGTTCTAGTTAGATGAAGTGTGAGAGTCTGTTAAATGTTCAGTTGAAGATTTCAGGTAAGAAGTCAGTGCTAGGAGTCTAGGGAAAGAGATCTGGGTTCAAGATATAATTTTAAAAAGTTTTGACATATAGATGATGCTCAAAAATCACAGGACTTTGTGGGGTGAACACCGTGGTTATAATACACTTTATAAGAATAAGTGCTAAATTTGGGAAACTTCAATATAAGGAAAATTGCAAAAGGAGAAACCACAGAGAAAACCAGAAAGCAAGTGATGCAATGTCCTTGAACCCTGTTGCTCAAGGAGGTCTCTGGATCAGCAGTGGTTATATCAATGGGGAGCTAGCCCTTCAGATTCCACCCAGACCTGCTAAGTCAGAACTACATGTTAAGAAGCCCCCAGGGATGATCTGTTCAGCTTCTTCAGCTTGATAAGCTCTACTTTCCAACACCAGACTCAAAACACTACTGAAGAGACAACAGTTAACTGTGTCAAGTGTGTTAATGAGTCAAAAACAAGGGTTGTGACACCTGGTCTTAGGATTATGAAGGTCATTGGAAACCTTGATCAGAATGGTTTTGTCTTTGTGAGGGCAACAGAATGGCTGAATTAGATTTAAGTAAATGTGGATATAGCTCAGTAGTAAGGTGTCTGCATAAAATGTTCAAAGCTCTGAGTCATTTTCAACACACTCCTTCCCCTCTAAGAAAAAAATAGAATCTAGAGAAAATAGGAAGAGTTGGAAATAGAATATACAAAAAAGCTTTTCATGCAATGTTGTGTCTAATGAGGGCTAGGAAATGGGTAGCAGCTGGTGAGGCTCATGAGGCCAGAAGAATAGTTTTTTATTGTTTTAAGATGAAAGAAAGAACAACCAATTTGGGTGGGAATGATCTAAGACCTACCTTTGAAATCAGTTGTGCCAAAGAATATCACATCTATTTTAGTCCAAATCCCAAGATGTACTTTTAGTTTTGACAGTAATTAAAAAGGAGTCCTTATCCATTTTCTTTATCTTTAATACTCCACTGAGAATTAGCGTGTAGTTCAGAAGGTGGAGAACTCATTATGGTTTATGACGTATGAAGTGAGTTTCTATAAGATTCTTGTCAATAAAATCCTTGTATCTACCCATGAGGGCTTAGAAGTCACACCAAAATAGAGAGAGCACATGCCTTCAAACATGGAACATACATCTTCAAACAAGATGTAGGACAGTCTACTACCCCAAGAAAATTCCCTCATGTCCTTCACAGTCAACCTCCTACCAACTGAGAAGCAGCCACTGACCAGATTTCTCCTAGAACAACTTAGGTTTGTCTGTTCCTGTGAGAGGATGCTCATACAGTATGCATTTTTTTGGGTAGAATTTCTTCTAGTCCCCATGTATTTGATATTACTTGTTGAATGCCTCAGTAGTTTGTTTCTGTTAATTGAGGACTTAAAACCCCATTGTGTGGATACAACGCTATATGCTTAACAACTTCTTTGTTGATGAATGTTTGAGCTTTTTCCTGTTTGAAGCTATTCTGATAAATGCTACCTTGAAATTCTGAAACAGATCCTCTGATAAGCACTTAGTAGTGGCATTGTTGTTTATGAGGGCAGATGAGTGTTTAATTTTACAAGAAACTACCAGGCAGGTCGTTTAAGTGTTTGACTGAGCATGTCTGAGAGTTTCAGTCACCAAACATTACCAACAACAGTTTATGTTTACTCATTCTGATGTGGTCTGCTGTAGTAGTCACTGCTAAAATATCATTCCCCTGAGTATTCTAGATTTTATGATTTGTTTGAATGACAGTAATAAATGTCATATTTCTCTTCTTCAACTGCTTCTCAACAAAGAACAAAATATTTATGCATGTAAAAGGAATGGTTCACCTGGGTAGATTTGTGATGAGAAATCGGGATGTTGTGCTGACAACAACTTTCGTGGATGACATAAAAGCTCTACCAACCTTCTATGAAAAGGGAGAGTATTTTGGATTTTTGGAAACCTATGGAACTCACTACAGTAGCTCTGGGTCTCTGGGAGGACTCTATGAACTGATATATGTCTTGGATAAAGCTTCCATGCAAGAGAAAGGTATGCCTGGAAATAGAATTCTAGCTACAAATGTGGTTCTGATTGAATATTGTTACTTTCATTGCCCCCTTTCAGTAAATTCTTAGGATGAAATAATCTAATAAACTGTTCTTCTGAGAGATTCTGCCCTGACCTTTGGCATCTAACAGTCTATCAAATGGCTCATTGATTTCCACTTTGAATAGGCTCACTTGCTCTCAAAGTACTCAACATGTATTACTGAGAAATGCACCAAATCATACTATAATGGAATAGCTATTAATGGGAATACAGCTTCTAGAGAAACTTTATTTGAGATATGGAAGAAGGAATAAGAAAGAATACACACACACACACACACACACACACACACACACACACACACACACACACA